GCCCCTGGGCTTGAACTTTTGATGGACTCACTTGCTTCAGTCTCCTACAGTGCTGGGATTACAGGCATGTACCACCATGGGGGGTGGGAGGAGGGCAGTTTTCAGTTTATAGAAAAATTGAATGCAAAGTACAGAATTCTCTCCTCATACCATTCCCAATTTCCCTTGTTAATACCTTCAGTCAGTGGTACATTTTGTCACAACTGACACATTAATATAAGTCGGTAGTTTCCATTAAGGTTCATTCTTTGTGGCAAAGGTATGGTGATGCCTATCCACAATTAAAAATTTTTTTTTCTTTGGCAGAACTGGGGATTGAGCTCAGGCTCTTGTGCTTGCCAGGGAAGTGCTTATTCTACTGAGCTATCTCCCCAGCCTCTACAGTTACACTTTCATGCAGAATAGTTTCACTACCCTTAAAAGCCCCACACTTTGGGCCTGGCGAGATAGCTTAGTGGACTAAATGCCTGCTTAGGCAAGATTAGGCAACCTTAGGCAAACACAGGGACTGCAGTTTGATCCCCCGGCACCACATGCTGCGCCAGTCCTGCCCCCCAGGGTGGGTTGAGCCAGTCAGAGTTCCAGCGTGGTGGCGCATTCCTGTAATCCCAGTGCTGGGGGGCTGAAAACAGGAGGATCACTAGGAGTCCGAGCTGCCTAGTGAGACCCTGCAACAACCAAATACATTAAAAAATAAAAAAGCCCCATATTTCACTGTTGACCCCCACCCCACCAAGCTGCTTTTATTTTACTCCCCAATACTGCCTTTTCCAGAACACCCTGTAGTTGGAATCAGTGGGCAGACTTTCAGTGTGGCTTTTGGTAATATGTCAAGGTTCCCCCATATTTTATGCTTTGATGTGCCATGTCTTTTTTAAAATGACTAAATATTACACAGTATGGGTGTGTTTGCTGTAGTCAGGGTTTGCAAGGGAAGAAAATATAGAACTCATAACTTGCAGAAGAGTGCAAGAGATCTGTCCATGTGCTAGAGACCTAAAGAATCCAGCTGAGGGTGTGGATCCTGTGATGTCCTCCATGAGTCTAGCGGGATGCCTAGAGCCACGGCAATGTCTCATGCAAGTCTGTATCAAAGATCCGCGCTGGAAAGGCCCAAAGGTCGGTGGTGGAAGTTAGAAAGTCTGCGCCAGTGGAATGAAGGATCTGCGCTGGAACCACAAAGGAAAGGCCCACATCTCCCTCAGAGAGCCTGAAGCCATCCTCAGCAACAGCAAGGACGCAAGCTCCTCTAATAAGAACTGGGGAGTCTGTATCAGGGAAACTGGTGTGACAAGCTTTTCTCCTGGAGAACAAACAGCACACCACCTTACCCTCCCCTTCTCCTTTTCTGCTGGTGGCAACAACCCTCAGGTAGGCCTTCCATACACAGCACCACAGATTCAGTTCAGCTTGATATTACACGTCACCCATGTTTATTTACCAGTTTCTCTTTTTACTGAGTTTTAAATATTCTTTATACTGGATGGTGGTCCACTGTCAGGTATGTCTTGTGTACAGTACTTCCCCCATTTTGCGGCTTTCCTATCCATTTCTTCAGTGGCAGTGATGTTGAAGCTTTCAGAGAGCAAGTGCCCAAGCTGCAACCCAAACCCCACATACTGAGGCTTCAGTTTAGGAGCTACTCTTAGCCACTGCTTGGCTGCTGGGGTGCCGTGGCACACATGGTAGCAGAGAGGCTGTTTGTGGCTGCTGCAGCACAGGTGCTATAGGCTTTGGCCATTCTATGGTAGCCTCTGATTTTGCTGCATTCTTCTGGTTACATTTTTTTCTAGGAGAGGCTCATTTCTTGTTTTTGGTGCCGAGGACCAAACCCAGGGCTTCAGGCTTTCTAGGCAAGCATTCTACAGCTGAGCCAAATACCCAGCTCCGTCTGTGGTATCTTCTGATGAGCACATTTTCATTTTGATGAGACAGAATTTAATTTTTTTGGTCAGCGTTTTGTGTGAACCAAGAAACACATGCCTACCCCAAATCACTAAGATGTATTTCCCATTGAAAGCACTTGGGTGTAATTCTTATGCCGAGGTAAGCTCCATCTCGTTACGTTTGTGTATGGAGCGGAGAGTGGCCAAGGTTCTGAGCCTCGCTTCCTGCAGTCTTCCCAGGTCTCAGGGTCATGTTGAAGGTAAAGCAATCCCCACGTACTTCTGAGCTGTCTTTTCTGTTGTCCCGGCTTGGCAGCCCTTGTGCTGGCACGCTCCTTTGATTAATGCAGCTTTGCAATCCCCCCGCCTCCTCCCCTCCCCGTACTGGACATGGAACCTAGAGCCTTGGCCTGAGCTCCATCCCAGTCCCTCCCACCACCTTTTAGTGGGAGACTGAACCCAGGGTCATTTTTTAAAAATTTGAGTCTTTAGCTCATGATCCTTCTGTCTTAAGTGCCTGAGTTCTAGGATTACAAATGTGTGCCATGGCCACTGGATTTTTGTGTGTTTCTGAAAATTTGGTTCTACAACTTTACTCCTCCATACCTGTGCTGCTGGGGGGGGGGGCTTAATGTTGTCTGTTACTTTGGTTAGTTGCAGTTACTGGAGACAGCAGTGCACAACAATCACAGGTGGCAAGAGGAAGGTGTGTACTGGTGGTTACCAAAGGCTCTAATGTAAGAGCTCATTATTTTAGTTTTAGTTTTTGGAGACAGGGTCTTACTATGTAGTTCAGGGTGGCTTTGAGTTTACTATGTGGCCCAGGTTGGCCCTGAACTTGGCCGATCCTCCTGCCTTAGCCTCCTAAATGCTGGGATTGTAGGCATGGGCCACCATGCTTGGCAGAGCTCATATTTACAGTGTAACCAGTGTAATCAGTTACTGCATTAAAAATTTACAGTGGGCAACCTAAAAAGTGTTAGCAAACTTATGTTAGGTGATAATGTTTTCAGTAACCTGGAATTTACTGCGTATCAAGATGTTTTATTTATGATCAATTTCGTTGTGCATCAGGAACACTTACAAATGGCTAGGAGTCATTACTGTGGTTTTCTGAAGGGAAAAGCAGAATGAGATGCTCCAGCACAAGAACCATAACATCTCCACTTGTTCCAGTGGCTTCTGATGCCAACAATGAGACAAGAAAACTCCACATACCTAACAGCATGTGGGCAGAACACTTTCAAAGACCTGCGGTCCTGCGACTCAAATGCTTACATATGTGTTCTTGTGGTGCGAATAAAACCGTAATGAGCTAGCAGGGAGCAGTGGAGACTGGCGAGCAGTGCTGGTTCTTGCCCAAGCAAGACGAGACCTCTCTGGAGCAGCTCTGCACTGCCTCTCCAGGGCTCAGCTGTGACTTCCTCCCCTCAGAGGTGATGCCTGTGTATGGGTGCTGCAGAGCTGGAAACAGATGTCTCCCTTCCTACAGGCAATGTGAGAGAATGAGCTGCCCACTGCTCAGTTACTTGTGGCGCAGGGACAGGGGGCCAAGCGTCCCTGTGCTTCACACCAGGCTGTAAACCCTCACTGCAGTGTGAGGTCACCCTGCCTGCTTTTGCGGGGGTAATCACAGCAATGGATACTTGGTAACAAAATCAGTCTCTCCCCTCTTTAATTATCATTTAATCATCACTATTCCACTGGAATTAAGAAATTAAGCAGAAATTTCTCTAGGTGTCACACTTTACCAGGCAGGTGTCACAGCTGGGGGCTGCATTTCCAGGAGCAGGGCCACAGTCAGTGCTGAATTTCAGCACTGGGGCAGCTTTGCATCTCTGTGCGTCTCCTACTAACCACGTGGTCCGGCTCCCAAACCTCTAATCTTGAGATGGAATTAATCCTCACTGCTCTCTCAGGATGTGGAAGCTGGCTCTAGGCTCTCTGAAGAATGGTTCTTGGCCTCTTCCTGTCTCTGGCTCCTGCCCCCAGCAGGTGGTGAGGGAAGCCTGATGTCCAGTTATTCCTTGCCCCTGGGGGCTGCTGTGGCTAGGAACTGCTCTCATGGGACCAGGGCTGGACTCCAACCAGCCTCTGCATAGAAGGCACTCTGACAGCTCCCACAGGATTTCTGGACAGAGCAATGCTACATTTAAATGTTTAGGCTTCTTTAGCACTTTATCTTACTATAGTTTTTATTTTTTAAGAGGCTTTTAAAATTTAACTTGATCCTTTCAAAAGTTTCATTAGAAAGGTTGTTTACAATGTGATAATATGTACAGTTCTCCTACAAACAAAAGTAAATTTTCATACATGCAGAAACTCAGGGTTTCTCACTGAGTCAGTCCTGCCCCATGCTGGTAGTGCCCCATTTGTTTCTAACACGCCCTGTACATCTGTATCCAGCTTTGGCCATGCTGGAGATGGGAAAAAAAACTGTTACCACGATCCTCCTGTAATGAAGTCCTCATTCCCATAGAACTGTAATTCTGGGAGAGCTCATAGCTCCCTGCAAAACCTAGGCAATGACTTTTATAGCATTCCTGGGACTCTGAATCTCTGAAGCCAAGCTGCCAGCCGAGTGGGAAGACGGATTTCCTGCAGTCGATCTAAGGCTGCAGGATGCTGTACCTACCACCAGAACTCACCCGGTCTGGATCCTGTCTTAAACCTGATGTGGTCAGGCAAACACCTTTTTTTTTTTTTTTTTTTTTGTCTGTTTGAGACAGGGTTTCACTATGCAGTTTAGGCTGAACCTGAGGTCACTTTGTAGCCCAGAGTGCTGGTATTACAGGTGCCTGGCAAACACCCGGAAAACAGGTTGAAATGGTTCAGACAGCATTATTTAAATGCAGTATTTTTTGGGGGGCGGGGGGCAGTGGATTGGGGATTGAACCCAAGGCCTTTGCACAGGGCTGCATACCCAACCCCTTTATTTTTGAGTCTTGTTGAGTTGCCCAGGCTGAGCTCAAACTTGCGATCTTCCTACCTCAGCCTCCCAGAGTGCTGGGATCACACGCATGCGCAGTTATCTTTGGTGAGAAGTTACTTTGCTCTGAAACCTCACTATTCATTCCTTAGGCATCTATGGGCATCTGAGGGAAGGCACGAAGCTCCTGAGAATAGCAGGCAGGGCAGGATCAGCCCGCAGACCTGGAGGCACTACTGCGGCACCAAGGGGGCGGCTTCTGAGAAACACCTGCTTAGGCCATTCTGTCACTCACGGCTGGCGGTCTCCATCTTAGTGCTTTTTATGTAGACAGAACTTAAAGGACTTCACAGAAATTAAGAAATCTCTGTATTTTTAGAAACAATGCTGGGCTTTAGGGTTTAATGTACACATCAAACTGAAATCTGCTGTAGTATTTTCTAAGTTTATGTTTTATATATTTTCATTCTTTTTCCAGATATTTAGATTTGAAGTTTGACAGTGTACACATACTTCTGTAAAAATAAGTTTTATTAAAGAGAATGGCCACAATATAAAAGACTAATTGTTTGGGATCCTCTTCCTCTTCAGGTGCCACACTCTGCAGATAAGCAGACTTGTTTTGGAGGGGAGGCCTCTGACAGTCAAACAGGGGCCCACACTACAGAAGCTGGTCACCTTCTGAGCTTCCCTGTCACTCTCCACCTTGCATTCAGCCATGCTTATGTCACCCTCAGCCGCTCTAGACTGCCAAAGCTGGAAAGGACAGGATTCTGAGGCTTAAAGAGCAAGTTCTCCCTGAAAAGCTGCAAGAAGCCAGGCAGCAGATCCTCCAGAGCTCTAGACTGTTTCCCTCAGAGCCACCTGTTTTCTTGAGGCCAGGGGACACCACAGGGACACTGGCCATCACACACTCTGCCTTAGCAGACTATGCTGGGAGAATTCTAGGGAGAGGAGTGGCTCTGGGTCCTCCTCAGAACTTCTGTAAGAATTTGAGGACAAGGTCCCGCAGTCGTACCCTCAGCATCTCATCATTGTCACAGATGATGTGAGTTGAATCCTCTTCAATTTGGATGAGCGTTTCTGCTTCCTGCAGCAGGACAATATGGCCCTTGGCTGTGTCTTCCACCTTGATATCACTGAAGCCATGCTGCTCCCAGAGAGGGGGAGAAGAAGACGGGGGTGGTGGAGAGCGAAGAGGAGGGAGAGAGGAAAATGGGGAGAGCGAGAGAAGAGGACGTAACTATTGTGAAATTCGAGGGCCATCTGCAAAGTAGAGAAGCTATTCTGGAAATGCAAGATTTAAATAATACTTCCTGGGTTGAAGGACTTTCTAGGAAGTGGAATTTTTGGCACTTCTTAATACATTTATGCAGGAACAAAGTGGCTATGTAAACAACCTGACTGAAGTCCTTTTTTTGGCGGAACCAGGGATTGAACTCAGGCCCTTGCGCTTGCTGGGCAAGCACTTATTCTTCTGAGCCATCCCCCCCGGCCCCTGACAAGTTCTGCAGATCTTCCAAGAGGCCTCGCTGCACAGGAATTCACACGGACTGGGCAGAACGTGTACATCCTGCCAAGGCATGGACTGAGCTCAGCACAGCTGGTCCCATGTGTGGGAGTCCAGGGTGCGAGGCCTTGACCTAGGTGTCAGTCAGCTGTTCTCAGGGCCCAGGAAAATGCCAGTCCTCACAGCCAGTACCACCGACCTCACCACTGGCAGGTCCCTCTCAAGGAAGAAGTCTGAAAGGCATCTCTCCAGCTCTGTCTACTCCAACTGCACACCATTTCCACAAATCAGATGTAGCATTGAAGGAAGAAGTAGAAAGGGGACAGATCTGTCCACTAGGGACACAAATGGGTAAAAAGCATTGACAAGGAGGCTGTCTGCCCACAGCTGGCGGGTGGCAGTGGACGAGTGAAGGACCTGCAGCTGGCATGGCAAGGTGTCTACTGAGCCTCAATGCCCAGGCTGCTCCTGGATGCAGCACGTAGGAAAGTAGAGTGAGGGCTACCTGGGAAAGGGAGCCCTTTCTAAGTCAAGCCTGACAGGTCTGTGGGCACCAGGACCCTGGGACAGCAGGGCCAGTCTGATCAGCTACGGGCTTGGGGGTGGGCCCAAGAGAGCTGCTTGGGGAAGTCAGAGCACCAAGCCTGTGAATGGGAGGTCTGTGTGACCTGAAAGGAGCTGCTAGTTGAGATATAGTTTGGACACAGGGTGTACCACCTCTTGAGTGACACTGTGGTGCCACATGGCCAGCAGTGAGCAGTAGTGCCTTCTCCTTCCTAGCAAAGATTCTGCCTTCTAAAACAAAGCAGTCAGGCTCAGGAAGCTGTGGTTTGATCCCCTCATCCTCAAGCCAAACCAGACTGCCCTGAAGGCATCCTGAGCACCGCCCCCCCCCCCCAAAGACTGCCTCATGCCCAAGGCCCTGACGAAGCCCAAACCCCACACCTGTAAGGTTGAATGTCCGCCCCCTCCCCAACTGGGGATTGAACCCAGGCCCTTGTGCTTGCCAGGCAAGTGCTTATTCTACTGAGCTATCTCCCATGCCCTAAACGTTTCCTTTAACATGTTCATTATGCAGCTGCAATTCATGTCTCACTGCTCAGTGGTCTGACCCACTGGTGTGGTACAAACTTGACCTTCCCATTGGGTGGCTTTTTATTAATTTTGTTGTTAAAAAGGCCAATACAAGTGATGAGATCTATATGTACCACTGATGGCTCAAGCTAGGGAGAACATATTAACGGCAGGTGAGAAATCCTTTAGGAGGACGTGGCCGTTGGGGTGTGGAGCAGGTGTACACTGAGCCAAGGGAGAGGCCCAGGGTCTTCCACACGGCTGCTCGTCTCATGCCTTTGACTCTGCGAACTGTCCCAGTTCCCAGGACTCCCCCACCCTCTCTCAGCCTGACTTGAGATCTGCTTGGGCACCCAGGACGTCCAGTGGACAAGTGGGGCTCTGGCAGATAGCCCCCTAGTCACAGCTGTCTCTTTTAATGTTTTTTCAAAATCTTTAAAAAAAGATTTATTTGGTATAGGGTCTCACTACATGGCTGGCTTGGCATGGGGCTGACATGACATGGGGCTGGCATGGCTTATGGTACCAGGGATCAAATCTGAGTCCCTGTGCTTGCCAGGCAGGCGCTGAGACCGCCAAGCTATCTCCTGGCCCCATGGCTGGTTTCCTGAGGAAGGACATTCTCAGCGCCAGCCACATGGAGTGGGTGGGAGAGGCACTAGCTCTGGAGGACAGTGGGCCTCAGCAACACGCGGGACCACAGCACAAGGCCCCTTCCTTACCTTCTCCAGGGTCTGCACAAACTGCTCCACAGGGATGGAGCCACTCAGCAGAGGCTTCAGCACTTGGCAGTCTGGCACGTCATCGCTCACGCGCTTTCTTTTCTTCCCACTGGTGGGCTGTGCCGGCCTGGGAGGGGGCTGGGCAGAGTGGAAGCAGGGTCTCACCAAGAGCTTCCCGAGAGTGCAGAGAACCCATGGTCTGCCCTGCCCTGAACATGGAGGCCAAGGGGCCCCCCGACAGCCTAGAGCCGCCACTAGTGTGAAGACCAGAGGGCACCTGAGGCAGGCATGCGGCTGGGGACTCTGCAAGTACAGAATTACCCGTGTGGGTCCCACTTTCCTGCCTAAGACCTGGGTTTTCTTTTTCCTTTTTTAGAGGCAAGGTCTTGCTTTGTAGTTCAGCATGGTCCTGAACTCTGTGCAGTCTAGGCTGGCCTTGCACTCTGGCAATCCTCCTGCCTCAGCCTCCGAAGTGCTGGGTGGGAGTACAGGTGTGCACCACCATGCCTGGCCTCTCAGATTTTTTTTTTAAAAATCAAGGCCTAGTCATTAATTTTCCATCTATCTACTTCAGTATGGTACTTTCCAAGTGCATTCCTCATAGCAGACTGCTGGCAACAGCCTAGCATATGGGCTGTTGGGTCTGATATAGATGAAGTTCTAGCTTGGTCAGTCTCCCACCAGGAAATGGAGGACAGCTCTGACAGTACTGCATGGGAATTCTGTGAAGGCAAACTGCCACCATGTAAGCTAAAGCTGCAGCACTGGGCCCGAGGTCACCGAGGGTCCAGTCTGAAAGGAACTGGAGGGACAAGTACCACCCACGGGGGGCGGGGGACGTCCCTCCAGTGTTGAAGGCCCCAGGCTCCCTCAGGGAGGGGCTGTTCAGGTCTCCCCGCAGCACCTCCCTCACTCTGCAGCGCTCTGGGGAGTGCCTAACAAATGCTCATGTGAGGAATGTGCCCACGGGAGCTAGAGTCATGTGGACTGCGAGCGCCACTTAGGATGATGCATGGCCTCAAACCAGTAACACGTCTCTCCCCTTCCTTCTCTGAGCCATGTGGCCAGAGAATTTTGATGAAATGCCCCGCGTTTTGCTTCTGGTTTCTGCCAATATGGAGAGAGAGACACATGTATGGAGTGGGCCTTCTGCAGGGCAGGGTCTAGTTGATTTTTTTTTTTTTTTAATTTTTCTTTTTTCTAACCCTACCCCTAACCCTAACCCTAACCCTGGCAGGGTCTAGTTGAGCTAGTTGAGTCCCACCCGCCAGCTGTACCTGAAGCACATGCTTGTTGTCTTTTGTGTGCAGCACAGCTGAGACGGTTGCCAAGGAGATGCCAGGCTTGATCTCCATGGGCACCAGGGAGTCCGCAAGCTGAAAGCAGATGTAGTTCCGGGTGGGCCTCCTGAGCGGGAGGAGTAGGCCACAGGGCCTCAGCTCCGCCCTCCTGCATGTGTCCAGAGGGGTCCCAGCACCCAGCCTGCCTGGAGGGACAGGTGTGGACAAGTGGGAGGCTGGGCGCTCATGTCAGTACACTTGGACATGGCCAAACAGTTTAAGAGAGAAAGCAGGCAAAACATTATACAATTTTTTTAAAGCATAAAATCACATCAACCTTTCTTGCACCCATGCAGATCCTCAATTACAATAAAGAAAGGAGAGGAGAGAAGACAGCAGAGGTGAGGGCAGTTAAGTGCCCGCGGGCTGAGCCTTCTGGTAATGCAGTTTGCCTGGTGGTGCCCGATGGCACAGGGCTCATTCAGGACAGCCACAGGTTGCTGTGTGCTGTCTCTCATGCAGCCCTTCTGTGTCACGCCACGGGTAGGACAGTGATAGCAGCAGCTTCCCAACTGGCAAACCCAGGGTTTGCGGCCATGAGGCTCCCGATCTCCAGATTAAGTGTCCCGGGCCAGGCCCCCACACCAGCCAGCCTGCCGGCCGGCCCAGAGCCCAGGCTCTCTGTCATGTCCAAGGCGGCCTCCCCACTGACCCCGGCCTGCTGCCTGGTATCAGGTGGGAAGGACAGGGATGGCACAGTGTCTCTCCATACCCCCCCCACGCCTGGGTGCTAGTTTTAGCTGCGGGGCCCTGGCCCTGGGCAGGGGAGGCTCCCTCTCCTTCCTGGAAGCTGCTACCACAGACACTGAGGGGAGCCTGGGCCTCCGCAGCCCCGATGATGGGGCCAGCTCTGCTGCTCTGGTCAGCAGACTGCTACCCAGCAGGCTGCCTGCACTGAACAGCAGCAGCAGACTGTGGTGCCACTGCCTAACACTGTCGGGATCAGTGGTTTAAACAGGGAACTGGACACTGCAGGCTGCTCCATGAGTAAGAAAACACATATGGGGGAAGTGGGGTGCTCCTTCCTGTGGGGCAGAATATACCAGCCTCCTGCTGTGCCAGTCCTGGCCTCCCTCTGCCACATCCTAAACTGTGCAACCATTCCCTGCCCAGCCCGGGCTGGCTGTGGAAGTTTGGGGCTGGCATGGATGCCAAGCAGGGAAAGGCTCTCCTTGGGCAGTGTGACCACATTTTCAGGAGACTCCAGTAGGGGTGGTTTGTGGGGGGTGGGAGGGGCTCCGTCACAGAGGAAGTCAGCACAGGGTGCAGAGTAGCTGCAGCTCAGCACCCCTGGGAGGGAGGGTGTCCAATGCACCCTGGAAGTGATTCTCATAAGAACCAGACCCAAGAACTGGCATCAGGGCTGGGAATATAGCTCGGTGGAACAAGCACTTGCCTGGCAAGCCCAGAGTCCCAAGTGCGATCCCCAGTACCACAAAAGAAAAAAAAAAGGCTGAGAACTGGCATCGCAGAAAACAACCTAGGAAACACTGAGAGCAACTGAGGGGCCAAGAGGCCAGAGCTGTGGCCTGCATGTCAGCCTGCTGCCCAGCAGCTGACTTTCCTACAAGGATAGCGTGGGGCTTCTTTCTCATCTGCCACACGCTTTCACCTGGAGCCCATTTCCTTCCTTGAGGGAAGCCACTTCTGCATATCCAGAAGGATACTCAACCTGGGAAGACTTTTTGGATCTGGAAAACCAGCCACGAACTCCCCGGCAGTCCTCCTGCCCATGTGGCCCTGGGGTCACCGGAACCACACTCTCCTGGCCTCGGAGGACAGTTCTGTTCTTCCTGACCCAAGAGTTGTGCTTTTCCTTCTCAACATGGTATCCAAGTCCTTTGGGGAACCTTTCCTCTGGCTCCCTCCCATTTGAGGGAAGAGGCTTTTCCCAAGCCCAAAAGAGAAGGCGATAAAATAAGAACCTGCCTGAGCTCTGCAGCATTTTTAGCCCAAGGAGCCCGAGAAAGGCTTTCACTTGGGCTGCACAAGACAGCAGCAAGTAGCCTGGAGCTATAAACACACTCTGAAGCATTAACCCAGAAACAGCACATTCAGAGTGTTTCTATGGAAAACAAAACAAAAAATGATTTAAATAAAAGGGTGCTCAGGGCTGGGGAGATAGCAGCACAATACCTGCCTAGTAAGTGCAAGCTCCTGAGTTTGTTTCTTTTTTTATATTTAGGACAGGGTGTACAGGATGTCAGTGAGCCGCCTGTGTATAGCCTCCCAAGTGCTGGGATTACAGGTGCACACCACCACACCCAGTCTCAAGTGCCATCTCAGCGTGCCCCGGGGCGGGGCCGGCATGGCCTCTGCATCTGCCTAAGTGGGCGCTTTAGTCCACTGAGCTATTTGGCCGGCCCTAAGGTTCTGAGTTTCATTTCCAGTACCCAAATAAAAAAGTGTTTCTGAAAGTGTTAAGAAAAATAATAAATGTCCACCAGCAAATGAACAGTTAAATTACAATTTGCTTATGATAGACTATTATGCAAGCATTAGAACAAAACCTTTTGATGTTTCTATTTTTGGTGCTGGGGTTAAACTCCAGGCCTTACACACTACCACTGAGCTGTATTTTCAGTGCTTAAAATATCTTTAAAGACATAACATCCTTGGAACTAGGTGAAAAGTCTATTAAGCATGATTCCACCACATACACATAAGAATAGTACACAAGGCAGTACAAAAAAACCTAACTAGAATAATTATCTCTAGCCATCCCGCCCAATCCCAGCACTTGGGAGGCTGAGGCAGGAGGATCTGCAAGTTGAGGCCAGCTCAGGATGCATGATTCAAGCCCAACCTGAACTACATGGCAAGACCCTGTCCCCCCACAACAGTTATCTCTAGTGTTGCAACCAAGACTGATTTTCATTTTTGTCTTTATCCTTTACTTATGTTAACACAGTGGCTTTTTTTTTTTTTTTTTGCGGGGGTTTTTTTTTTTTTTGCGGAATTGGGGATTGAACTCAGGTCCTTGTGCTTGCCAGGAAAGCATTTATTCTACTGAGCCATCTCCCTGGCCCCTAACACAGCGGGTTTATAATGTTATTCTAAAATACTAATGAATATAATTCACACAGGTAAAAGCTTGAGATCTTAATTTTTTAAGGTGTGTGATATCAAGATGTTTGAGGATTGCTGGTCTAGAGTGGTGAAATCTATGCATAAGCCTTTTTTCCCAGACCCTGTCAACTACTACACAAAAATAATCCAGAGGAGGCCTGTACGGTAAGCACAGGGAGAAAGCCTAGGACTGCCCAGTGTGGCTTGCCCCACCACGCCCCAGCTGCGCTCTGGGCCATGCCTGCTGCTCCACTCACCAGGAACTCTGGGGGGAGCGTAAGCTGGAGGAGCACATGCCAACTTTGCTTCTGGGGCCTTCACAGCATACAGCAACAGAGGTTATGGTGTGTGTACAGGTATCCCCCCAAAGCCTCATGCAGTCATGGGGCGGCTCCTAGAGTTTTTTTTTATGTATTTAGTACAGGGTCTACAGGGTCTCACTACACAGATCAGACTTGAAGTGATTCTCCTGGTTTCAGCCTCCCAAGTGCTGGGATTATAGGCTTGCGCCACAACACCCAATCTTAATCAATGTCTCAGTGCACTCTGGGGGCAGGGCTGGCATGGCATGTCAGGGATCAAACCCCGGCTGCTGCGCTCTGCCTAAGCAGGCACTTCAGTCTGCTGAGCTATCTGGCTGGCCCTTGTGATTCTTGATCCAAAGCTGGGGTTGCCGGTGTGAGTGCTATACCTTGGCCCCAGGGGTGGGTAATGTGCATTACGATGCGAGGAGAGAGGCTAGCTAGCTGCCTGCACCGCTGCCCCTCCTTTTGCTCTCTGCCCTTTGCAGACATGAACAGCTGCTCTGAGCCATGTGCCAGCTGAGTATGGACTGAAACTGTGAGCTAAATGAGCCTCTCCTTTCTTCATTTTGGGCGCTGGGTATTTGTCCCAGCAATGAGAGGAGAGTAACTGAAACAACAACCAGCTGGCCCCCCGGACTGAGGGAGAGACCAACACCCAGGAGGAAAGTGGTGCTTCTGGACTGATGTGTCACCCTACCAGAGACCTCGGAGACAGGGAATGGACCAGGGCATGCACAGGGTTGTAGCCTGCAGAAGGGGGCCAGGCTTGGGGGCAGGGGAGGAAGGTGGACAGTCCAGTGGTATCTCTGACCTCTGGTCCTGAGTCTGTGGCCTCAAGTGTTACTAATGCACGGCTGGTCTGTCTGCACTAACGTGACAGTCTTCTTAGTTTTTGTTAAGGGTTGTCTCTGAGTAGCTCCTAGGGTTTGCAATGCCCAGCTCTCACGTGATGCCACTGAGGCCCGCATTTACTACCCCAGGGAAGGTCACATTGTAGGGTTAACAACAGTTCTTTCCTCTATGCCGGTATCTGGAGTTCCAGGGAATCATAAACAAAAGCAGATATAGGCATACTCAGGACCATGGGGAGCAAGGCAACAGAAGACCCCAAGGTCACCCAACTCTTAAGTCAGAGCACATGGAGAGGAAAGTGAATGGCAGGCAGTGGAACACTATGAGAAGTGCACAGATGGGATGGACAGATGACTAGATGAGCTCCAAGAGGAAATAAAGTAAAATAAAGGCACGCCATGCACGGGAGCTTACCAGCTTCAAAGCAGGTAAGCGTCACAGGCCACAGATGTGCTAAGATTAGTAACACCAATAAGAATGGAAATGGGGCTGGGGACGGTAGCACATCCTTATAATCCCAGCACTCAGGAGGCTGAGGCAGGAGGCCTTCCAAGACCAGCCTGGGCTGCATAGTGCATTCTAGCCAGCATGAACTATACAGAGAGACCCTGTTCCAGAAACAAAAACACAAAAAAATGGAAATAGGGAAAGAGGAATTAAAAGAAGAGAGTGGGAGGAGGGAAAAGGGGACAAACAAACAAAAACCAGGCTGTACTATGTACATATAACCACTTTGCTGGATAACTGTAAACTGCACGTACTGCAAACAGAATAAAAAATGTAACCCCAAAAGATACCAGGCCAGTGTCTTTCACCAAGATGAACAAAATGTAGAGAAAATGAACAGCAAAAACAAACAAAAAAACATAAGGAAGAAGTAACCTGCTTTTCCTGTCTCTCATTTTAAAAAAATCATTATCAATGCCAACTTACTGAAATAAAACCATTCCAATCCAGGCAATAACCAATGCACGGGGCAGCTAGGAGTCCAAAGCAAAGCACCACTGTGTGTGGTTCGGTGAGGTCTCGGGAGGACCACTGCTCAAGAGGAGCTTTGGCTGCACTAAAGGAAGGCTGGGCAGCTGCCCAGAGAGCTGAGGGGACAGAACAAGTCACCTTGGCTCCTCCTCCTGAGCAGAAGCAGCTGCTTAGCCAGTTAATTAGAGAAGACTAAAATGCTGAATTCACAAGTTCCAACTAAAAATTCACATTTTTCCTTTTTCAGAATTATTAGATCACAAACATCCAAATGACCTTAAAGGCTGTCAACTTGAGAAAGTGGTGGGGTGAAGGGTCTCTCTGGAATATGTGGAGATCCAGGGAATACACAGTTCCAGGAAAGAACTGTTGTTAACCCTACTATGTGACCTTCACTGGGGTAGTTAGTGAAGGTCAATGGCATCATGTGACAAGTGGGCATTGCAAACCCTAGATATCTGTATCTTTCTGGTAGTTCATTGCTTAACTGGTTTTGGACTCCCCACTCCTTGTAATACCCTTAGAGCTGGGTATTATACACTCTTATAGTTATGGGTGTGGCACTATAAGCCTTGGGAGGCTGAGGCAGGAGGACTGCTATAAGTTCAAGGCCAGCCTAGACTATATAGTGAGACCCTGTCTCAAAAAAACAAAAACAAAAACCCAGCACCAAAATAAATCTTGATAACCCACTTGTGAGACTTCTAAGAAAATGATCATTATTGTTTTGAAACTGCCGTAACTCATTAAAAAATGAAAATGTGGAAAAAAAAAAAAAAAAAAAAGAAACTGCCGTTTGGTTGGAGCCAGAATCACCTGCCTGGCCTCACTCCCACCGCCTGGGCACCCAGTAGCACCCACAACACACACAAGGGCTGCATAATGCAATGCTCATCTACCTAATAGAAACAGCCGCATGCATTTAGATGCTAGTTTTGTATTGAATCATTCATCTCATTTAATGATTGCAACTGCCTTAATCTGCTTTAGCTATTGTTCTTCATTAAGGAAACCGCCTTTCTGCTGGCTCTGAAGAGGAATCGTGTGTGGCAAACAGGTCTGCACCAGCCTTGCTGGGGCCAAGCTCTGGACACTTCCTAAGCCCAAGAGTGCTGGGCACACTGGCTTAACAGCAAGTCCTACTCTTTCTCTCATCCGTTAGAAAACATCCAAGCTGTCTGGAAGCAGGCAACAGCCTACACTGTCACCCCAGAGGCTATCCCGCTTCTTGCTGCCTCCCCCAACTGTTCACAATTTGCTTTTCACTTCTTCCCTGTTAAAACGTAAGCTAAGGGCATGGTGCTCCATGTCTGTGATCCCAGCTATGCAAGAGGCTGTGGCAGGAGGATTCCAAGTGTGAAGCCAGCCTAAGCAATGTAGTGGGACCATGTCTCAAAATTGAAAAAAAAAAAAAAAAAAGGGCTGGAGATGTAGCTCAGTGGTAAGACACACAGTACTGCAAAAAACCCCAAAAGCTAAAACCAAAACAAAAAACCCAACAGAAATTAGGATTTCACAGAACGAGAAATATTTAGACTATGACAGGCCAAAACCACAAGATTGTGCTAAAAGGGCTAGAAGCTCACATTCCTTCTTTTTTGGTTGTTCTTATCTCCCCTTCCCTGAATGCAGCAAAACTCACCCTACTCATACATGAGACCCAAGAGGCTGAGAAGCGTGTGAGGCGGGTCTCGCTCTGAACATCCAATCAAGGGGCAGCCTTGGATACCACAAGCCTCATACCTCTTTTCCTGGTGACTTGCTTAAGCATCTGAGTTCTAACTCATTCACTGCTGACATAAACCCAAAAGCAAGCCATCTCGGCAAGCACTTTGAGACTCAGACAGTTAAACCTGAGTTTGAGGATGAAACAAGCCACTCACCTCGGGCATGATTTCAATTTTTTCATACCGACGCTTGAAGGGCAGGGCCAGGACCTCAGCCCGCCGGTAGGACATGGGTGGAGGCTGGCAGTCGATCATGAGGTCCATCCTGTGTGACTGGGCTGGGGGCGGCTGGGTGTACTGCTCAGGACAGACCACGTGCAGGGGCTGTAAACCAATGGGACAGGGTTGGGGGCGCCAGAGCAGAGCACCCTGCTCCGCGTCCTGATCCTGGCATCCTAGGTGCTCAGGACCCTCTCAGGCCATACAACATTCTCCTTCCTTAAGCCCACCCAACCAGTGGCAGAGACAGGCACAGAGCAGGGGGAGCAGGAAGCCCCTCAGGGAAGATGTATGAGCTGCCAGCCGTGGGCGAGCAAAGTCTTCCTGGTCTCAGCCTGCACTGAAAGTTTCTCATTCTTTCAAGGTGACACTGTGTATGTCAATTTGCAGCTGTCACTAGGAGCCCTAAGTGCACAGTTTCCCTGTGGCCTGGCCTTCACCCTTTACACAGACTGGGAGGAACTGAGATTTTCTGTGCCATGCAGGGGCCTGGATTCAGAGCTGCTTATGCTACGGGCAGGTCACATACTCTGCGATGACAAATCAGATATGGAACTTAAAAACGGTTCCTTCTGTTTCTTGAGAGAAAAAAACCTTAGTAAACCAACATTTATTTTGGACAAATACCACCCAGCTGAAAACCAAAGCTGACAACCCACAAGGTCACCACACTGCTCCTGCTTTCACTTATGGGTCTGGACTAAGCTGTTAACCCCAACTGAGGACTTCCAGCAGGCAGGCGGGGGAGGGGACACAGCATCTGTCCTTCCCAGCCAGTGCTTCCTCTTCTGCAAATGCCTTCTATTCCTTCTCACTTCTCTGGCATCGCACAGCCGTTTAGCACAGACTTGCAGGTTTCCTCCCAGAGTGGCAGCAGCTGGGCTCTGGTCTCCCATGTGAGCACACGGCGGAGGGTGTAATGGGTACATGCTGGCCTAGGCCTGGCATCTGAAGTTACTCAGTAATGAAAAACACCAGGCTCTTAGCCGTTTTCCCTCCCTGGGGTGAGCACAGAGTTGGCATCAAATCCCTTCTTGTAGGCTCAAACCCAGCATCTCTAAGGCCTAGAGAAAACCCCGATTCCCTCCATACAGGGAAGCAAGCTAGTAATCTTCCTGCCTTCCCAAAGGCCTTGTTTCTTGCCTCCTGCCTGAGTACTCTGGGTAGGGGTCTCTCTACCTGACACACCAGATTCTGTGAGAAAGTGGAGGATCATAATAGGAAATAAACAATTCTGAGCACACAGTGCTCAGCAAGCAGGGCAGAGGCAGTGGCTGGGACAGGGCCCTCAGATCTCTGAGCTGTGCCTCCAGAGGTAAGGGCAGCCAGGAATCTTTCTCTCCATTGTCCTGCCCCCATGCCAGTGCCAGTCAGGCTTCCAGTCCCGACTGGTGAGCACCTTCTAACCCCCACATAGGGACCATATCCCTGCCTCCCTTTACACTTTCCTTTCGGGAAAATTTGTCCTTTTATGTAGCATTTTACTCCAAGTACTTTTTTCTTTAGGGCAGAAAATGTAAAACGAATCAAATAACAAACAACGATAGTATGTGTAACAATACTATAGTATGTGTAACCCCCAATGTAGGCTGCAGTCAAACTGCCTTTCAGTCTAGTAAATGTATTTCTTGAATGACTTTTTTTGAGGGGGCATTTTGCTTTTAGGTAGCACAACTGATCCTCGTCAAAAGTAACTGTTTATATCTTCTTCCCCTGTACTTTTGATTTCTTTAGGCTGGAAACTTTGTTCAGGGCATGAAGACCACTACTCAGTTTGAGGGTTAGCAGGACCTGTCTCAGCACCATGCAGCCGTGTGGGCCCAGGGGAGGCCAGGGCACAAATGCTGACAGTCCCCCACCCCTCAGCTGTGTAAGCTGCTGGAGCAGCAGGGCTGTGCAAGGGCAGGGCAGTTTGCTTGTTGGTCACCTGCACTTCTTTCAGCAGCTTGGACACCTGGATGAAGTTGAGGCGTGTATCGATGGGGCAGTATATGCACTTCATGGCCAAGGGCTGGTAGGGAGCCAGCGCTTCCAGGTAGGAGAAGTCCGGTTCTAGGGAGAGAATGAGAAGGACGTTAAGATGTGAGGTGGGAGAGCATCGCCTGGGGAGGGCAGCAGTGGTGGTGCTGTCAGCTTGGCAGAAAGGGAGCAGGCGCAGGGGACATGGACCGAGGCTCTCAGCTGGTGAGGAGGCAGGGTGAACCCTGGGAGGCACCAGGCCTGGGAGGAACAGGTGAGGGCCCAGAGCACTCAGGATGAAGCGGTAGACAAAACCCACGAGAGAAGGGAATGCTCTGCTTTCCAGCAAGATGCCCGCTAGTCAGTGTAGAGAAATACATCACACTCCAATGTACTCTGCCCAGAACCATCAGTATGTGCTGCTATACGCAGGGTGGAAGAAGCGGAGGTACATGATTCTGGAAGGCCCCTGGACGCTGGTACACACAAAAAGTACAGCTGCACGTGTGGTACAGAGCTGAGGCCAGGCCTCGCCCAGCGGTGGGCATCACAGCCCCAACACCAGGCCCTGAAAGCTGGTAACAGCTCGGGGCCAGCAGGGCCACCTACCTGACAGGACACACTGAAAACCATGGAGAGCCCGAGCCTCAGCTCTGACCCTCACTCCCGGCAGGGACCTGTCCTCAAAGCCTTGTCCTGTGGCCCTGCTCTTCCTCCAGGATCCCTGCAAACCACATGGCAGGGACTGTGCACAGGATTCGGCCTGGAGCCAGAAGAGAGGTGACACTTGGGCTCCACAGTCCTGCAGCAACCTGACAGAACCTGGCTTCTCAGTGTGCCTGGGGTTATGCTCTCCGACATATGAACAGTTCAGATCTAAATGCTTTTGTTTTTGGTGGTATTAGGGACTGAAACCACTGAGCTATATCCCAGCTACTTCCCCACCTACTTCTTTTTTTTTTTTAAATATTTATTTATTTTTATTTATTACATTTATTTATTGTGTGTGTGTGTGTGGCCAGCTCAGCCCACCAGGGGGCGGGGCTGGCTGGCATGTGGTGCTGGGGATCGAACCGCGGTCCCTGTACTTTGCCAAGCTTGTTTCAAGTAGGTGCTTTAGACCACTGAGCCATCTCTCCAGCCCCCCCACCTACTTCTAAAAATAATTTTTTTTTTTTTTTTGGTGGAACCAGGGATTGAACTCAGGCCCTTGCGCTTGCCAGGGAAGCGCTTATTCCACTGAGCCAGCTCCCCAGCCCCTAAAAATAAATTTTGAAGAAGTTTTTGTTTTTGAAAGACAGTCTCTAAATTGCTAAGTTGTCCAGGCTGGGCTTGCACATGCAGTGCTCTTTCCTTAGCCTCCCAGGGCACTGGGATCACAGGCATGTGCCACCTCGCTGGGCTTCACAGCATCCAGATACGTAAATTACCTCCAGTAGGTCACGTTTCCCAAAGCTTTAACAGAACTTCCAGATGAGGTAAGAACAGGCCACCTAGCAGAGAATACTGACTCCTTCTAACGTGACAATAGTCATCACATCAGCTGAAAAGGTGGCCCAAAGTCTCCTCTCTTGCTAATGGATATCAGAAATCTCACATCTGTTTAAAAGCCTGACAAACCATTTTATTTAATTTTAATTTAATTTTATCTTATCTTAATTTATGTACTTATTTTTCTGAGACAAGGTCTGACTATGCAGTTCAGGCTGCCTTCAACTTGCTATGTGGCCAGGCTGGCCTTGAACTCACAGTGATCTTCCTCAGCTACCATGCCCGGCTCTGATGAACCATTTTATGGTTTTGTTTTGTTTTTTTTAATTGGCAATCAAAGTCAGGACCTTGTGCTTGCCAGGCAGGTGCTATGTCTCTGAGCTATATCCTCAGCTCCTTGACGAACCATTTTATTTTTATTTTTTTAGTGTATTTTAGTACAGGGTCTACAGGGTCTCACTACACAGATCGAACTCATAGTGACACTTCCTGTTCTTTAGCCTCCCAAGCACTGTGATTACAGGTATGCGCCAGGCACAGCATGCTGGGGCTCGAACCCTGACAGATGCGCTCTGCCTAAGCAGCAAACCGTTTTAAATGTAAGTTATTACCCAGATTTGTTATGAATGATCACAGTGCTTCTGATTTCTTTTTGGCTGGCTAAAGGAACATCTGTACCAGATCCAACACTTCAGGGTGTGCCTGTGCTAATGCCACATCCACTGTCATGCCAGTCATGGCTGGGGAGTGGGAGAGACCAAGTCCAGCCCTGTCCACAGAGTTCTCTAGACAACCTTCTCGGGATGGCCAACTCCTAGGTGCTGGGAAGAAGTGTTTGGTGAGCCAAAGATGGCAGAGATAGAAAAACAGCCTGTGGTAGCTCAGAGCTCCCCTCCTATAGTGAGGGAATCAGCCCAGCAGAGGGCATGGCTGCCATTATAGCAAGCTGGCCAGATTCCAGATCAAACTGTTATACCTTCTAGCCTGCGAGTTTTCCAAAACCCAAGTCAGTGTGAAGCCCATATATTGATAAAATAATACAGTAATTATCTAAGTAAATCCCTTACTTGACCTCACAAAAGGCTTTCTTTTTCCTGAGGGTTTTGTCTCTAAGCTAGAGTAAGCTACAAAAGAGAAAAGATCCATGGAAAAGAACAACTCCTAAAGGTAAAACAAAGGGCAGGTACTGGAATCACTGTAGTTCTTGCAAACGAATCCACTGAAAAATCAGCTCTGCACAATTCCATCTTGGGAAGGCCTAAAAGAGCCAGTAGTGTTCAGCAGACAGTTACCTAACAGCACTTGTTGCTACTCGCTTCCTCCTTTGCCAGTGGCTGCTCTTTGGTGCATCTGGAAGGACAATGCTCAGGCCAATGTCTCTGGCAGATCCTTCCCTAGTCCACACTGCTGTGGCTACTGCTGGCTAAGAGGAAAGGAGGAAGGTGAGTTTATTTTGTAAATTCACCTGTAAATATGACAGTGTTGAGACTCGATTTTCCCCAGAGCTCCATGAAATGGACCACGTCCCCAAACCGGAGCGAAGGGTGCCCAGTGAACACCACGCATGGCTGCCGGAAGTCATTGCTGAAGTCTCCGTGGATGCTGGGGTAGTGCTTCAGCTTGTTGGTCTGAATGAGCTGGAAGATGCATGAACAACACAGGAGGAACTATTAGCTTGGTTAGACTGAAACGTGAACCATAGTATGGGCGGATGCACAAAAACGACTTAAAAATACAAATGAAGATGCCAAGCTTAGCTGGAAGAAAGCACCATGAAAGACACATCTGACAGAGAACTGTTACAAAGACATTGGACAACAGAAATCAACTGGAAACATAGATTACAACAAGCTACTACTACATGCCTACCGGAAGGACCACAATCTAAGACACAGACAACCAAATACTGATGAAGATGGGAGCAATGGGGTGGCAGACATGCCTTGCAGGGAGGGGAGAAACAATTCACAACAAGCAGAAGGCAGTAAAGCAAGTGAGAGACAACCACAGCTCTTTTTACCCCTTTTTGATTATCCAGGCTATTAGGGTGGGTAACACTCACACCCTTGATCCTAGCAATCCACCATAAATCAATCCCAGTGCACACACTCTAGATCCAGCCACCTCTGACAAAGCCCCATCCATGACTGCATGAACCTTTGGATGGTGGGCAGGTGGGGGATGAATCTAGACACAACCCATAATACGTGAATCACCAAGTTCTTATGACAATAAATAGATCCTTCTCACAAGGTAGACAGACTGCTTTTCCATAAGCAATACCCAAGAGCTTAGGCTGCTAAGTTAATGTGGCAGCTTAATTCAAAGACCAAACCAACTTTTGGAAATGTGGAAGATTTCAATTCCTGAAGACACAAAGTTATAAGAAGAAACAGGCCACACACAGACTTAAACTTTATCTAAAGATTTATGCTTGAACCCTGAGAATCTCTGTTTGGCAATGCTTTCCTGATGTCAGGTATGTCACAAGGCAACAGCAAGCACAGTGACAACCACAGACAGCCTCTTGAGCCGAGGTCCACCCAACCTTCCTACTTCACCAACAGAAGGTCACATGACAAATGTCTAGCAGGCACATCCCCTAACCACCAAATTTCTCAAAGGAAACATTTCCTTTTAATGGACAAAGAAATGGTTTGTGACAGCTTAGTCCAGTAGCAACCACAATACCGTGACCTGGTCAACAACTTCAAGTCCAGATAACATCATCCCAAAAGTGAGGGCATGGCCAGCTTGAGACATTCCCCTAAAAAAGTCAAATTCTTCCCTTTGAAGACCTACCCATTTACTGGAGACACGTGGCTTTACTAGGAAGCCTGCAGCATAACCCTGCAGATCTAAGTAAGTGTCTGCAGGGAGATGTGTGACTGTCCTGCTGAGGGGCTTGAGCCACTGGTGGCACAAATTGATCTAAGTACTTTTATTGGTCTTTTTACTAACAAAAATTATTAAAAAAGCTAGAAATGGCCAGAATTTAGTTGTTTGAATTTCAATAATTACTGCCCAAATAGAAATGTTAATACTAATTAATATTAATACATTAACAATATAATAAAGACTACGAAAACTGCCCACAGCACAGCATTTGTTGAACAAGCAACCAAAACAAAATTGGATATTCAGCCAAATAAAAATACACACCAGTTCTGTGGAGGGGGAATTATTCTACTTTTTAAAAAACTGAAATGTTATTTTCATGACTAAACATTTGTATACATGGTTGACACAATTATAAAGGACCATTTTGATAATAAATCTGTGACTTAAAAGTTAGCAGAAGGTATTAGAATGTGATTGCTCCTGCAGTCAGCAGAACAAGAGGAAGGCAGAACGTGCAGACACAGTGCAAGGATGTGCTCATGGGAGGAAACAAAAGAATCCCAGTTGCGTACTTTGCTGTCATCTGATGAGGGAGGCAAGGGGACGCATGCAGGGGTCATGGAGGGGTATCTGGAATCTAATGGCCCACTATGGCGATGCACAGTCATCTACATTTCTTTCCTGCTTTGAGCCCAGTATTTTGTTTTCTTACCTCTGCATGAGGAAAAGGTGGCTCGGGGAGATACACTTTGCTCTGTTTGTTGTGACAAAGCCTTTTAAAGAGGAAAAACATCAACACATTAGAAAGTGCACAATAAGGAATTTGTTGCCACCTAGTGGCAGTAGTGCAATATTAAACACTACAATTTAAAAATTTCCAGCCAGTGAATTCTCTGAAAATAAAAGTTGGCACCTTCAAGGCATTTGGGAACATACAATTTTCTGAACCTTTAAAATTCCTCAGTACAGCCAGTGGCATAAGCTGCCTAGCAAGCGTAAAGTCCTCAGTTCAATTCCCAGTAAAGAAAAAAAAAAGTTCTCACATTTTTTTTTCTTACACAAAATAAATGTCTTATTTTGGGATAAATTTAAATTTACGGAAAAATTGCAAAAAAGTAGAGCTCTACATTCCCAATGCTAATATATTACAACCACAGTGCATTCATCAAACCAAGAAATTAACACTAGGACATTATAACTTAGTAAACTCCTGGCTGTCTGGATTTCATCAGGTTTTCCATTCATGTCCTTGATGGTTCCAACATCCAACCCTAAGATTCGATATTGCATTTAGCGATGGCCTACTTTGAGGTGAAAGCTACTTACCTTTCCCATCAATGTGGCTTTCTGGCTCTGCATACATGCTACTGTATTTCAGTAAGCGCAGCCCCGCTAAGTCCCCCTGAGGCCCATAGTCTGGAGACAGTGAATATTTTGAGTCACTTGTTTTTTTCTTACACAAGTATGATTTTAAAATACTGAGATGTCTAATAGAAGGTGACAAAGCTTACAATGAATAAATCAACACGCATGGTGAGCAGGTCTGGTATTTTTTCAAAGTAGGAGAACTCACAATGTGTGTTTGTCAGAGCCCACTTTAAGGACTCTGTCAAAACAGTGTGGAAGCCAGGAGTTCAGGACTTCAGGGCTTGATTTTGTATTACCTTTATACTCTATGTGCTATCTTCCCCCCCATCTTTAGTTTCCTTTGACCTTGATCTCAAAGACATCACATATTTTTTCTGGAAGAGTTAAAACTACAGAAGCTCACCTTATACAAATGGACACTAGTTCGGTCTTTCTTTCCAACACAGACTGAGAAACAAATCTGAGCGCCTATTTCACATGCTTGGACTGCTGCACAGGATGTTATGCTACATCTATTTTATTATGAGATGTTAATGATGTTGAAGAGATTACAGTCTGAATAGAGGATGAAACCCTGACTCGAAGGCCCTGCATTCTGCTGACAGATCCCATGCTTGCCTCCAGAGCCCTTGTGTGGGCAGGGCAGACTGAGGCCTGTTCTGGAGGCTGAAGGGGCCAGTGTGCTTCTCTGGGCTTGCTGCTGAAGTTCAAAAGGAGACTCAGAAATATATATGGGTGATCAGAAAAACAAAGAATACAAGATGCTTGTATTCTCTGAATACACGAATATTCTTGAATCACGTCTGAAAGCCCGAGACCCTCAGGTACTACAGTCTTCAGTGCATTGTTTGCTGAGTAAGAGATCAGAGATGTCTTTGGGAGCCAATTCCCCCATTTCCATCCCTCAGCAAAAAACCCATCCAACCACTCAAGTCCTTAGCCTGGAGCTGGGGTGGACACTGGGACAGCCAGGAGTGGGGCTTTCTTCACGCAGTGAAAAGCAGGGCACCAAGGGAGAACAGAGCTGGGCAGGGCAGAGCAGAACCCCGAGGTTGGGCGGCACCAGGCCTTTGAGAAGACTCAAGTGTGGGCTGTGGTTCTGGCCTCACCCAGGTCCACAGTAATCACTCAATGAGCCCAAGTCTGAAACCAGCCCCTGACACTGAGGCAGGCGAGTTCGTTCTTTACATAGGGACAGAGAGTGCAAACTGTCATGATAGGAAAGACTCTCCTAGGACAATGGCTGTCAGCCTCCAACCCGCGCTGGAATGGCCTGCATGGCGTGTCAAGGTCCTAGCTGCCGCAGACTGATGGCATCAGGTCAGGCCCATTCCAGCTTCCCAGGCAACTCAACTTCCCTGGGCAGGAGCTGCGGCTTCTCAGAGATGGAGGGAGGGGCCCCAAGGGCTCCCCAGAGGTGAATCTTACAGTGAGGTCAGGTCAGGAGCCTACGCTGGGGGGAACTTAGGTAATTCTTTCTTCTTTCAAAAATATGTTGTGTAAATCAATTGAGGGAAGAATATACTATACATGCAAACCTCATTTTCTTTTTCTTCCCCCAACCTGCACCTCGAGCCCTGGCTTCTCAGCTGTGGGGGTTGGTGACGCACCCCAGCTTGAGGTGCTTCAGCTTCTTCCAACAGCCTACTCACACTTGTACATAGGTGTGTATGTGCCTATGTGCGCTCGTTATCTCCCTCAAGTGGACTCAGAGTGACAGATTTATGCGACTGCCTCTTCCTCCGTGGCTCACATTCCTCAAGGTCAGAGATCCCTCCAGACCCCCAGGGCTCAACACAGGACGGCATCTTTCAGATGTTTATGGACTGAACTAAATAAAGTACAAATGAAAACAGGAAGTGTTACATGATCACTGAGTTTAATAAGAGTCCAAGGGAGATACATATGGAGAAAGTCTGAAAGACCTCTCATGTGTCTCTACCTGGAAAGATCATTGCAAAAATGTCAATTTGTAGCTCACAGGAAATATGCACTCAGAAGGATATTCTAGAACTCAATAAAGTGATCCTATGGTTCTCGATGATACTCCAAAGAATCCTGACTAGGAAAATCAAAGGAAAAAGGGCTGGAGAGATAGCTAAGCAGCCTAAGTCCCTGCCTGGCAAGAGCAAGGTCCTGAGTTCAATCCCCAAAACAAAAAAAAAAAAAAAAAAAAAGACAAAAACAAATATATTTTACCACAAAATGAAATTATAAATACAATTGCAGTTACTAAAATATATTGGCACTCCTATGGCCAAAGAAAGGGTTAACAGAGTAGTCCTAGAATAAAACCCAGTACACACTGAAGTTCAGCATTCATAAAATGAATGCAGATAAGCTAAAAAAGTTAGTTATTCAATAAATAGTAGATGGATATGTAATTACTTGACTATTTGGAAAAAATGAAGTTAATGATTCTCTCACACTAAACAAATTACAGATAAAGAAGTTAAGGGCAGGAAAAGAAGAAAAACAAAATAAGGAACTATAATAAAACTGAAATACAATGTTTAGCAATGTGACATCAATATTGGAGCAAATGTTTAAGAAATAGCAAAATAGTGAAAGAGCCTAAATAAAAAGTAAAAAAATGGGGCTAGGGAGATGGCTCAGTAGAATAAGTGCTTCCCTGGCAAGCACAAGGATCTGAGTTCAATCCCTGGTTCTGCAAAAAAAAAAAAAAAAAATAAAGTAAAAGAATTCTTTCAAAAAGAAAGAAAGGAAAAAAAAAAAAAAATCAATATGCTAACCACTGCTGAACCCAGAATGGATTCTGAAACAGAAAACTCAGAATCTCCAGAACTCAGACATGAGTGGAAAAACTGGTCCATTCAGAATAAAATCTGGCATTAGTGTCATGCATTCATGTTAATTTCTTAATTTTGACAAATGTATATGGCCTGGTGAGATGTTAGTATTAGGGGAAACCTAATGAAAGGACACAGAAGTCTTCATATTTTCTACATCTCTGAAAATTTAAAGTTATTTCAAAGTACTGTTTATTATGATTTAAAAACACCAAAAAAATTCAGAGAAGTGTCAAAATGGGAAAAAATATCTACAATTATAACACAAAGTTATAGCTTTGATATATATAGAAATGTATCAAATATATAAGAGAAATACAAAACCATTAAGAAGGGCAAGAAAGGAATAATTTATGTAAAAATCCTTCTGGAAAGCAATGGTGACTCAGATAATGAACATTAAAAAATATTTATATCCTTTGTTCCAGTAACTCCACTTTTAGTAATTCACCTACAGCAAAAGATGTCATGCTCTATACACAGAGTGATATTAACTAATGACCTATTACTAAAAAAAAAATTGAGAAAAGTCATGTATATGAATGATAAAATAGTACTCATATAAAAGTTATGTCTCAAATATTTTATCATACTTTAATCTAACTAATTTTTTAAAAGCAGGGCCAAAACTGAATATTCAAGATTATTTTTGTAGGTAGAAGAAATAATACATCAGAATGCTAAAAGTGATGTTATTTCTAGAGACTGTAATTATGTTTTTATTAGTTTCTAAAAACTTATTTTTTGCTATAGGAAATCTAGATTACATGCATAAGAAACAAGACTCTAAAAAGAAGAAACATCCTCTAATGCTCTCAGATTAGTAGTCCAGAGTTGTCCCAGGAGGCTGTTCCAACATGACAGGTATGCCATGGGTGGGCTGGACTCAAGCCACAAGTCCAGGGGACACTCCCCAGGGATATAGGGCTGGCCTAGAGGGTGTTCACAATATTGTTCCTGAGGATCTGGATTAAGAAACTCAAAATCTGCTGATTAAATCTGCAACTGATACTTTGGTAGAGTACTGCTTATTTAAGACTGCCTTCCTCCCTCAGGGGAAATGCCCTGTGCACTGTGGTGAGAGGGGCTGAGTTCCATCTCCAAGTGACAGTTCTATGCTCAGAGACTACAGTGTGCACGTGGATAGAGAGGCCTATTTGAGGGATACAGAAAAAGACAACAATTATAAGGGGGAAATGTACTTAAAAACCCTGGGGTAGGAGGCAATAAAATATTGGACTATGTTATGGCAGGATAATGTGTAGATTTCTTTCTTATTAAACAAGTAACCTGAATGTTATATCTACTTGGTTTCCACACAACTAGAAGGGATGCAACACACTGTGTATTGTGCATATAGTAGCTTTTTGGGAGGGGCAGGGGAGTTAGATTCAAACATGCATTTAAATTATCTTAAAAAGGTTCAATGACTTTTTTATTTTAATACTTTTTTTCTTTCTTTTTTTGGTGAAACTGGGGATTGAACTCAGGCTCTTGCGCTTGCCAGGCAAGCACTTATTCTACTGAGCCATCTCCCCGGACCCTTCTTTTCTTTTTTTTAAAGAGAAAAACTAAAAGAAAATTTCAGGGCTGGAGAGATGGCCAGTAGAATAAGCGCCTGCTTAGCAAGCACAAGGTCCTGAGTTCAATCCCCAGTACTGCAGAAAAAAAGAAAAAAAAAAAAAAGAAAGAAAGAAAGAAAATTTCAAAAGAAGATAACAGGAGAGTAACAATGGTTAATACACTGTGTATTGTTACCTTTAAATTAATTTTTCATAGTTCAGACATAGGCACTTAATTGTCCAAACAATATTAGCACAAACCTTTCCTTTCTTCTCAAATAAATTAAGAGAAATTAGTAGTATATTTTAACTATATTGTGTGTGTGTACATATGTATATATTTTCTCTTCCTTTTCTCCTTTCCCCATCCCAGTTTCTTTCCTTTTGAACTGTTACATCCCATTTTACAATACCTATTGTATTTTTCAATGACTTCTTATATCATTCATAATTTGTTTTCCATAAAAATCTTATTTAAAAATTTCTGTAATAAAATGTAATTTTTCCAAATGTATTACTGAAATAAAAAGTTTGGTGTATTTTAGCCAAAATGGGGCTGGGCTTCAAGGTTTTTAACTTTTAGAATGGACTGTCACTTTTTGTAGCAGGCAGAAAGTAATACTTTTGCTACTAATTTTAATAGTACAGGCCAAGTTAAGTCTTTTTGCATCTTGCCCTCTGTGGTAACTATAACTCCAAACTCTAGCAATACAACAGACTTGATTCTCAGTAATACAGTCTTTTCATTATAGATACATGTACTGGTTGATACATTGTGTCAACTCAAGATATTCAGAAATTTAATTAAGTGACTCAGCAGAGAGCCAGGATTCTCAGTTTGTAAACATCCTCATCCTGTACAAGAGGAGGGCATGCACACTGTGTGAGTGCTACACCCCAACCCCAGGGTAGCTTGCTTACAATACTAGGAGTGGGGAGAGGCTGGCTAGAAGCTGCAGCTGCTGCCCTTCCCTTTGTTCTTCAGTTTTCTGCTGCCATGAACTGCTGCTCTCTGCCATGTGCCGCTCTGCCTGGGAGCCAGCCGATTATACACTGAAACCGCCACAAACTGTGAGCTAAATAAACCTTTCCTTCCTTAATTTTGGGTGTTGGGTATTCTGTTCCAGCAACGAGTGAAAAGTAAATGAGACAATGCAGAAATACAGTAAAATGAGTGTCTCATGGTAATATGAGAAAAAATAGGACTATTTCGTTATTCCTGCTTGAATGTACTGAATTACATTTAACTCATAGAGAACACTGACATACCATTCGGCAAAAATCTGGGAGAACTCCAGGGAACTGTTGGCCACCGGGGAGATGAAGTAGAAGGGGATGCTGGAGAGGCCAGCCGAGTCGATGTACTGGTACAGGCACTCCAGGAGGTCATAGATCACACCAGATGGGTAGCAGGGGACCAGCACGTTGCCTCCATTCCGGACAGTCAGAGCTAGAGATGTGAAGCCAGAGGGGAGACATCATACCAAAGGACAGTACTGCAAAGGAGGCTCCTTTACAACTAGCATTTGTATCTTTTTGTTTTCTCACAGCTCACATGTACAGTAAACTGCTTTCCTTGAAGAACTGCAGCCAAACAAGGCATTGAGAGGCTCAGCTCACTGACTTACCTCCCTGGGAACAGAATGTCAGTCAGAGTTTGGGCTTTAAAGGCTCCAATGGCAAGTGAGTGGCAGGGAAGAACCTGCAAACTCTTTTTAGACCTTGTTACGAAATGTGCTGGATTTGTGATGACCAAATGAATAATAAGGATAGCCCCTGGTTTGTGTTTGATTGTTACATGCATTTTCTCTTAATGTTTATTAAAAAAATCTCTCATACATCGTGCATGTGGCGTGTTTGGCGGTACCGTGGATCTACACCATATCAGCGCGCCCCAGGGGTGGGGACGGCACGGCAAGCCTGGGGATTGAACCCCTGGACCCTGTGCCTACTTGCAGGTGCTTTAATCTGTTGAGCTATTTGGCTGGCCCTTGCTTATGTCTTATTCTGAGATAGGGTGCCTACAAAGCCCAGGCTGGGCTCAAATTTGTGATCCTCCTGTCTCAGTCTCATAGAGTGCTGGGTTTGCAGGCACACATCACTATAGCTGGCTCAATCTGTCATACTTAAATTATTAAAGAATTGCAACTTATGGGTTGTAATATTACAAGTATGACTGGCTAAAACAAGGTATACACTCAAGTTTATTTATTTATTTTTCTATTCTAAGACAAATTGATACAAGTGGCTTTTAGGTGCAGAACCTGAGCTCTCGATGCCTTAATTCTCCACTTCTACTCTGATATGCAGTTCACTGATGTTATAAAGTGAGAACTTGTGACTGCTACTACTATGGGGAAAAAAAAAAATCAACATCAGTGGTCTGTCTCCAATTTGGCCTGTGCCCAAGCTCTAGAACCACAAAGAAGCCACCACAACCTTGCTGGGCCAGCTTCCTCATGAGTTGTTCTATGAAACGAATGAAGAAGATCAGTGATTTTTAAGCTTTAGCTTGTGCAAAAAGTACCCAGGACACATTGGGGTCCTCCCCGCCCCAGATGTTGTGCTTAGTCTGTGGGGGCCCCAAGCCTACATTTTGGTTAAGCGGCTTCACTGATTTTGAGGTGGGTGGGCAGATGGCTTCGCTATGAGAAGCAGTGGATCAGATGTAGGGTTTGTCAAATCATTGAGTCTATAATGTAAATCATATACCAACACACAAACCTAAGACTCTACTGCAGACTATTTTTTCACAGAAAGAATAAATTATAATTGGCTTAATTTCAGCAAAGAACAAAAGCACATTATGATTATTTCCATGGATAAGTGAAATTTCAAAGGACATTGCCTTTTGTGTCTTTTTTTTTTTTTAATGGTTCTGGGAATTGAACTCAGGACCTTGTGCTTGCCACGCAGGTGCTTATGTGGCCGAACTATATCCCCTGCCACTCCTACCATGTCAGCAGAAGATGACTACTTATGTTTCCTAGAGCAGAAGGGTCAGAGCTTATCATCAACTGTTACGAACTGAATGTTTATGTCCTCCTCTCCAAAAGTTTATATACGGGACCCCTAGCCCCAGTATGATGGTATTAGGAAGGAGGGCCTTTGGGAGTTATTAGGGTTAGTGCATGAGGGTGGGGTCCCAAGCTGGGATGAGTGCCCTTGTAAAGAGAAGGCAGAGACCACAGCTCCTCCCTTCTCCATGGAAGGACACAGCCGGAAGGCGTTGGTCACCTGCAAGTCTGAAGAGCCCTTCACCAGGAACAGCAAGTAGGACTTGGACCTCAGACTTTTTAGTCTCCAGAACTGAGATAAAAATGTCTACAGCTGAGCCACAGGTCTATGATACTTTATTATAGCAGCCTGAATTGATAAGATGGTAACTGTTCTACGATGGGGAAGACAGATTATCTAGAGTTTACGGACAATTATATCCAAAAGAAAACAAAATTCTTCCAAGTAAAAGACAACCTACAGGTTTCTCAATTTTTTAAAAAAAATTTTATTTATTTATGTGTGTGTGTGTGTGTGTGTGTGGCCAGCTCAGCCCACCAGGGGGCAGGGCTGGCTGGCATGTGGTGCTGGGGGATTGAACCGCAGTCCCTGTGCTTTGCTAAGTTTGTTCTAAGTAGGTGCTTTAGACCACTGAGCCACCTCACCAGCCACCAGTTTTCTCAATTTAATAAAGTTTTCTGTGCTATTATCTGTAAAGCAAAGATGTATCTCAATATGAACATCCTTAAGTCAATCCCTAGTACCACAAAGAGGGAGGAAAGAAGGGAGACAGGGAGAAAGGGGGAGGGAGGGAGAGACAGGCAGGCAGGCAGACAGATGGACAGAAAGACAAGACAAGACAGAATGACCAGAGGGTGTGACTGTGAAGGGGAAGGGACAAAGAATACTAGAGAAGCAAAGAATGGAAAAATAAATCCAAGCTGTATCACCAATTTTGGACACAAGAGGGCTCCATACCCAGGTTGCTGCAGAACTCTCCCACCATGCCATCAGGATTCGCGGTGGGGATCTGGGTGAGCCCTGTCAGAACAAGAACATCGCTGTTTTTGAGAGAAGTTTGGTCCATGGGCTGAAAAACAAGAGAAGTTCATTCAGTAATCTAAAGAGGAATGCAGTTTACGAAGAGGGAAGAAAGCAGCGCACACAGACGCTGCTCTTTGGTGTCTACCCCATGCTCTGGTCCTCTACTACAGAAGCCTCAACCCTCACTGTGCAGAGCGGGAGTGGTGGGAGGGAGCAGAGCTTCACTGTGCTCACGGCTGCTTCTATCACAGGCACTGCCGCCTGAGCTGTGCCCCTGCTCAGATGGGGATGAGGCTGTGCTAGAGTCTGTGGCCACCAACCCAGGGCTTTGAATGTTAACTGAACCGGTCATTTTGTGTGGCGGACTGAGTAGCTGTTATAACTAGACAGCCTTCTGGTTTCACTACTTGGGACAAAGAAGTCACTTCTGGAAATGAATCTACACACTATTTCACCTATGGGAAGCACTTCTGGCTGAAACATGTCACCTAAACTAAAACTTTGCAGGATACAATTAAGCTTATCAACCACATAAAGTACACGTCTTTAACACATCTGTTGATGCCCCTCTGTGAGGAAGTGGCAAAGCATTCATATAGTCCACTGTACAAAGACGTGAGAGGGCTTTCTAAAGGTAGAACACTGGCCAGAGTTTAAGAATTATACGAACTGCTCCAGAGATTTCTTTTAGAAAAAGTCACTGCTGGCAGCACATTTCAGTGACAAAGAATGGGATGCAAAACTTGCTTA